AATAATTAGGATTGCAAGTCTCTATTGTTTTGCAGGTCAGAAGCTGAAAAGTTTGAAAGCTAATGAACCTGCTGTCTCAGTTCAGCATCAACAGACTAGAAAACCTCAAAGTGAACTACAGCCTGACCTCCCTAAAGGTCTCTGTGTCTTTCCTGCCTTGTCTTCTTCTGCATGCTCCAGTAATCATTAAGAATCCAACATACAACTGTTTGAGGTCTTTGCGGTGAGGGCCTTTTCATGTTAATGAGCCCAAAACAAGACTCTTAGTGTGCTCTGATGAGGTCAAAATACCAAAATCAAGCTGGGGGGAAACTGTAAAAGAGACTAAAATTATTATGATCATAAAGAATAATAAAAGCCAAAAACTAAAAACAGATGAAGCTAAATGTAAAAAACCTTGCGTTCCCAGGAGCCAGGTCTGCTTACTGAACATGTAACTCCCTCTCATTGACTTATGGTGAGAAAGGGTAAAAAGATATTTAGAGTAAACACCCTTTTCACCCCGATACAAACTGACCCTTGAGCCAGTTCTAACTAACTAATGTTGAATTGCACGACATACATGTGAAGATAAAAAGTGCACTTGTTGTATTTCCTAAAGCTTCCTCTAAAGAAGACAGCTTTATGGTTAAAATTGGCAACAAAAGATAGGTGGGAACAGTCAACATTTGGTGTATTTGACGGCAGAATTAGGTGTTTGCTTTCACACAAACATTAACCACTTCTGCTTTCAGAGTTCTCATTGCTCCTCTCTTCCCCGGCCATATTTTTCTCTGTCATATCCAGGTTCCTATGGAAGCTTCTAATTAACCCTGCACGCTCCTCGCTTCTTCCTCTCTTCCTCCTCCTTTCCACTGCTGCACCATGTTTCCCATGAATGTTGTCTCAAGCAATGTACGGTTTAGGGCGCTGTGGGAAGAAACCCGGGCCTGTGAGGATGACACAGCGGCGTCCCTCAGCAGCCCACACGTTTCGTCAAAACACATTGGTGCACAACCATAAGCTGTGGGAGAAAGATGGGAATTCTCGTCCCCAAAACACAAATGAACACGGCTACATGGGCACACGTTAAACAGAAACAGATATCCAGCGTCAAGCCATAAACCTGTGTAATTTTGTTTCATTCTCATATTTGCACAGTGCATATGAATAAATCAGGATCCAGATTTTTATTTCACCATGAAAATTCTAGTGGAGTATAATGTGAAAAATCTTATTAACCTCTTAAGCCCCGAGGGGTTTTCTTGAATTTTTTGCTCAAAATACCACACCAAAATGTAATTGAGTGTATCTCAGCATTTGCAAATTCTACCTAATAATCTAAAATAAAGCTAACACTTGGTAGATTTCATCAGAAGTGTAAGTATTAATACAGCTGCTGTGGTTTTAGAGATATTGGGGATGGAACGTAATTTTTTTCCCTCCCGCCTGAAGATTTTTTGCATTTGACAGTATATAACCCATTTAAAACCGTAATGAATCAGGCTAAAAACTCTTGGAAACCATAAATCCACTTGTGGACATTACCTGTGCAAAGATTCATGCTGCTAAAATTTACTGGAGCAAAGTTACAGAGGTTTTAATAAAAAAAAATAAAATAAATTTTGTCATTCTGCACAGGACGGACCATGATGGTACCATTAATAAATGTTAACAAATCTTGAGTTTTTACATCTAAAAGTTTTTATTTTTTCTTACCTGCCTGAAAAATTATCTAAAAATTTATTTTGTCACCATATGTATTATATATAAAAAAATGAGAAATTATATTTGACTTCAGTTGGATCATATTCATTCAAAATCAAGTTAAATTTCAAGACACGTAACAGCATATTTAGGTATCTACTTAGACTTGCTTTAAAAAAATAATGTCAAAATTTTTCCTTTACAGATTTGCTTAAATGTATTTACAGATTTGCGATGACACCATTTTGTACAGTTTGTTTACTTTCTGATTCTACTGCTTGTCCTTTGAACTGTGTTTGATGGATGTATAGATAGTTTCCATGAGTGTTTAACCAAGACTCTTAGTTTTCTATTGATACCAAACATGTCCCAGTTCAACTGACAGATCTGAAGTTAAAAGAAGTTAAAAGAAATAGAAAACGGGAAAAATGGTTTTGCCCCCGGTACCGGGGGCATGGGGCTTAAGATACACGTCCCACTGTAATATATAAATGCAAGACGTTACACTTTCCAGGTTCTTCAAGGAGCATTTGCTACAATCATTTTCTCCTTTTTCGTCTGCATGTTTCTGGATTTTTCACCAGAATAGTATCATTCCAAACAATAAATCCCATGTAAGCTTATATCCACTACGATGCGTGCAAGACCTATAAATGTCGGTTAAATCTGAACTTAAAATAAAAACTGGGACAAACTATAAAGATTTTCATGAATCACTGAGTAAAAAAAAGGTGAATAAGTTCAAAAATATAAAGTGATAAACAAAAAGTAATAATCTGCCAGGAGGTGGAGGGAATGGTGAATAAATCAGGTCCTTAAGGATAAATTTGCACATTAACTTATTTGAAGGAGTAAATAAAAAAGTATTCACAGAGATTTTTACCCTCCTACTGTTTTGGGGTCAAAACTGCCCCTGAGGCCTCCGTTTAGTGTGCTTTAAAAAAAGAGATAAAAACAATAAGAAATGCCTGTTAGCCATGTTTCTGTGTGGCAGACTGCCTCGGCTTGGCTCAGCATGAGGGTTTTATTGGTCCTCCTGGGCAGTGCTACACACTGCCTCACCATCTTTTACAGAACCATGGTGATTAGGAGCCCAACACACTGACAGCACCACAGCCACTGGGCTGTGATTTACACTTTGGACCAAGTGCCCCCGTTTGTCCTCTAAAGTGCAGATATGTGGAGCAGATTACATCAACACTTAGCAGTAATGTACTTCTAGACCTGCCTGATTTCAAGGGAAGCAAAAAATGGCTTTGCTAAATAAAATGACTTAATGTGTCCATACATTTTCTTCAGAGTTTGCGAGACAATGAAAACAGTGTTTACTGCAAATGAAAAAAAGTTAAAACTGAGAAATCTAACCATTTGTGAATAAAAACATAGCATTTTTTAAAGATAATAATATAATATTCATCTTCAAAGGGATACATTGAGGTAATTATAAAACATCACAATAAGATACATTTTTATAAAAAAAAATACTTTCACTTACAAACCCATCAGCCACTTAAGGAAAATAGAATGTTTGTGATAAGATAAGTTCCAGTACATATGACATTCAATCTCTATTTTTTTTACATTAATTAATTAATACGTCTTATTTAAACTTCCATTTATTGCAGCAAAATACATTTCTATTTATGTGTTATTTAAAGCAGTGCCTACAATTTTAGCAACCAGGGCCAAATTTTGACTTTGAGGCTTGTTTGGTTTAAAGTTTAAATAAATTTTACTTCCTTCTTTCTGCCTCCTAAACGTGCACAACTTAGCAGCAGGAGTGACTGAGGAGGTGCTTCAGCCCCTGCAGGGTTTGTGTAAAATCATTTCTCTCTTCCTGTAATTGTCTGTAATACCTTGCAGATGGTATTCGGTGGGAGTGTTATTTGGATAATAGCTCTTATTGTAAGAAGCAGGACCAGAGTGAGCTCAAGGAATTCACGAACCACAGACCACAGAAGGTAAAATGTACACAGTGAGCGTGGCTCAACAAGTGGAACCAAAGCCCCCCTTGTCCAGAGGGTTCTGAGGGCGGGGGGTTGGTTTCAGGAGACATGTGGGTCAAAGAGAGGGCTGCATGTTGAATCATTTTCTTGTTGTAGTTTGGGAGTCAGTAACACGGGTAGAGGGAGAAATTAGTCATGGCTGGAGTTATTTTGACAGTTTCTTACGAGGGCAAAGAAATCCAAATGTGAGGAAGAGGAGGCTGCAGGGCTCCGTGTAATTTAGTGACATGTGGCTAAAAGTACACACTGGAAGTGTCACACTTCTCCAGAGCTATCATCTTACTGCACCTTGCAGTGACTGGCTGACATGGAAATAGTCGCCCAGCTGCCAGTGCTTTAGGAAGCATGATAGCTTTCGTAGCTTGAAGATGGAGCGACCATATGTGTGCAGCACAGTGGAGGGAAGCTGTTGGATGAAGAGTGCCAACACATAAACTACAGTAAATAGAGTTTAATATTACAGTAAGATATAAGTTCTAATGCATTTTATTGCCCACAATCAAAAGGCTAAGGCAGAGCGATAATGTTTTTGCCTGTGCTTGTGTGAGTTTGACTGTTAGCAAAATATCTCATGAAACACAGGTTGGATTTATTTAAAACCTGCAGAAATTAATCACTTGATGAACATCTACAGCTGATTATTTTTTGAAGTCAACTCAGTTCAAGATGGCCACCACAACTAATCGACATTAGTAGATACAAAAATTGATGCAGTTCAGACAATTTTTTTCTTTAATGTTTATTTATTTCTTTTAAAAAAACAATATAAATTCAACATACAACAAAAATACAAATTTAATTATTTATTTTTTCATATTTTTTTTTATCTCAGATTTGATGCAGTGGTAGTTTGGAGTCATTCACAAGACCTGTGAGCTGTGCATGCGTTTGTGGATAAAATTATTTCCAAAGTGTTTCAGAACAGATAAGTCTGTCATTTCTCATCACAAAATGATCTTAGTCTAAATCTCAGGCACGACAGGAGGGCGGGCGATATGCGTTCCTTCAAGGAATGCCAGGCCTATAATATCACACAATATGATCTAATTTTCTACTGATGAAGGAAGCTGATTATCTGCATCATCCGCGCACTTTATACTGAGAAACATTAAACCCAACAACACCGGATGCAGGTATAAATAAAAAAAAATCTGTAGGGTTTCCGTGTTCTAAACAGGTCGTGCAGGTATAGGACTTAAGATGTGGTGAGCAGAAAGCAGGTTGGTCGGGCTGCAAGGTGAGCGCGCCTCGGCTCGCTCCTCCCACCTCTCCTCCCTGCGCTCCAATAAAGCGCTTTTTGTCCAGGGAGTCGGCACTTCGCTGCAGCGCATTCCTTGACGTGGAGGCTGGTGTACCTCTCCGAGGATTTAATGAGATCATAACTTTAATACGTCCACACAACGAAAATAAAATAAAAATCGAACTTTTAGAGCTTTTTAAAACGCTTGGATAAACGAAGCAGCTTTTGGAGTTATAACATCGGTGATCGGCTTCTCCTTGCGCGACTGCGTTCCCAACTTTACAATCAAAGTGACGGTAAGAGTTTCCTGCTTCTACTAACAAAATGATCATATTAGTAATAAACAGCGGATAGGTTGTGACCTGTAGATCACCTTAAAAACTAAGCGAGAACTCTTAATAGAAACTGGAGGAGCTGGATGGATTTACTGAAAAAATGTACAATGAGCGCCTTGTACTGTTTTTATAATAANCCCCCCCCCCTATAAATATAGATTTTAATGCACGTGTGTAACAACAAATAAAACTTTTTCTCATGCATGAAGCAGTTACTCTGCTGCTGATTTAGTTTATTGTCAATCAGATTCTTGAAAGGGTGGCATTTAAAGCGCCTTGTCTGTTTGGAGAAATGCGTAAAAACGCACAGCGTTGCGCAAACAGAGCCATCGGGGCGGTAATGAGGCGGGCTGGTGTGGGACCGCAAGACGCCGTGCAGCACGCAGGGACCGAGCCGAGTGTCTGGACCGCACCGAGCCCAGCTCACCGCAGAGGGCGGCTGTTTTTGGAACTGCGCAAAAGGGAGAGTCCCACAGCAGAAAATCCGACAGGACTCCAAGTGGCCTCTATAAAATCACAGAATCGGTGCATACACTTTAGGTTTCAATACAAAAAAAGTATCTTTTGTGATTAAACTTTCACCAAAAGAAGAAAATTCAGCCCGCTGAATAAAACACAGCCCTAATAATGACTGCTAAAATAAAATGTCATTTTGCATTTCAGTCAAAAGCTAATTTGCGCCATTCATCACTGCTACCAGCAGCAACAATTAGATTAAATCATTATTTTAATATAACACAAAACAGGCACATGTTTCCAAAGCTGCTGAACGTGCAGCTGAGGGCGTTTTAGCTCCGGAGCAAGATGAATGAAGCGGCTGCTTGAATGTGAGGAAAAGGTAAACACAGGCATGAGACAAATGTCAGTTTCCTCCAGCGGGCGTGCAGCAGAGCTGTGAGGTCAAATTCCTGCAAGATAAAAAAATCTCTGGGTGACCTGCAGCTTTAAACCAACATCTAATATAAAGAGATGTGACTTGACGTGTTTAGACAAACCTCTGTTCCCTGAAAGTAAAGATAGCTGTGACTGTGGTGTCTCTGTCCTTTTAACTTTCCAAACTGTTTGCCAACATAAACACACAAACCGATCACACCAGCATTTAGAAGCAACACTGTTTTACAACAGATAAAATCAGATTAAAAGCATCAACGGGCTAATAATTTACTTCGTGTGCCTTAATAAAAGTCTACAACGCTCTCATCTTTTCACCAGATTAGCATCTTTCTCTTTGGGCTCCCGCAGTCAGACCCAGCAAGCCACCAACACTTTCCTGGGGGCAAACACGCAGACCAAACTGCTCCAATAGCCCTGCTAATAACCCATCACCGGGCCACTGCTTGTTTTATCACCGCATGATTCCTTACAGACCATCATTATGCCATAAACGAAGCTACCCTGTCATTGACAGCACGTAATTGTTGCTATTTGGTAATATATTAAGCTACCAGACATAACGGAGCAGCCGCAGGAGGCCAATTATCTCGCGCTAATGTGGAGGAACTTTAGGCTTCAGATGGACACAGCAGCACAAAAGAGTGCTTGATGTTATAAGGAGTGCAGAAGTGTGCCAGAAGCATTCTTTTTCTAGACTTCTTTAGTGTCTTATTTTAGTCTCAACAGTTAAGTTACTTGCTGACACTCCTCACTGCTGAGAGTCAAAGTGAGAGAAGTCTGAGGGTGAAGGATTTTTGTGAACACTGAAACCAAGCATTTCTTGAAAGAATACATATCACCCATCACCAACCATGTCAGAGTTTTACACAAAGTTCATCTCTTGTTGCTGTTTTTGTAAAACCTTGAAAATAATAATATCACAAGTATGTGTTGTGAATGACGCTTAGCTACTGCCACATAAAGTTTTAGCTCAGTATCTGTACAACTGAGTTGTAGTCTGGTAGAAAAACCTCCAGTTTCCAATAGACAAAATGAGCGAAGCTACTTCTGCATCTCTAGCACAAGTGATGCAAATCACAGCTTGTCAAAATATTTGCTGCGCAACACGTGTGCGAACGTTGAGGGAGTCGCACACTGTAATGCACAATGGCTGGATTATTTTGTGGTGTCTGTGTGTGTGTGTGTGGCCGGGGAGCAGACGAACGCAGGAGAAGCCCTCCGCTGTAGACTCTGGTTTAAACAATTAGGCACAGACCTGCTCTCGCACAGCGTGTGACAGCGATGTTGTGAAATCGCACAACCCGCTCTGAGCTTGGTTTCACTGTGTCAGTGTGTCCTTTTGATCTATTATTAATCTTTTCTTCTTTATAAAATCAAGACTGGCATTTCATTATCTGTGCCAAAGAGCTAGGGAGGAAAAGAGCACCGATGTCTAAATCCTCTGCAGACCATGATAATGAGGATTTGTTGTTTTTGAAAGAGACTAAAAGATAAAGTTTTATCATGACTCTGAGGAGGTTGTAATTGACCGCCACACAAATCTTTCTTCCTCCAAACTGTCAGGGACTCTCAGGGCTTAGTTTTACACCAATTAGAGGGAGTGCCTGAAGCATTCAACCCTCTATCTCAGAGGGATTAGAGGGTTAAAAGTCAGGTGCTGTGGCAAGGAGGCCTGGAGAAGGGGGGAGAGGAAAGGAGATTGGAAGTTGAAGGTAGGAAACGGAGGACAAGAGTGGGGCATGCTCTGGGGATACGGGGAGAGGGGGTCCAAAGGGGCAGAAACATTGTGTGTTTTTCCTGATCACGTGAAAGTGAGGCTAAAAATCAAGATACCTTCAAGAAATTCTCCTTGCCTCACAATTTAAGTCGGCTCCGTGCCCCACTACAGGGTGGCACAGCAGATGGGGGGTGTGGGCTGCCGTCTCAGGTTGACAACTCAAAGCCGGAGCTGCTCCTTATAAGAGGCGTCTGGAATAAAACCTCCAGCTTCAAAGGCCTTAAACATCAATGCTGAACCAGCGGTATGCAGAGGCAAACCCCAGCCCGTACGCCTGCCAAGCCAAATTGAAGAAGAGCTTGCCGATGCAGCCAAATGATGCGTTCAGAAGAACCACTTCAAAACCTTGCATAAACACACACACACACACACACACACACACACACACACACACACACACAC